AATCTAAATAAAACAGTCAATACAAGACTTTATGAATTTATATAATCTTTTTATAAAGGGACAATAATAGGTGAGCTACAGCCAATGAGATTGCCGTTTGCGCATTAGTTCCGCCCACTACCGGAGAAAGCGGCAGTTCTTAAAAGCTGAAGAATTCCAAAGAAACTCAGTTATTTTGACAAGAAAATATAACAAAGAATATAGTTTACATGTAGCGCATCAATTCTCTCTCTCTCTGCGTGTGTGAGATAAAGCGACGGAGAGTCGTGCGCCTTCACACTAGAGTTTACGGTGCATCAAATACAGGTGCGCTGCGCCTCCATTGAGATGAACTGAAGAAAACAAAATAGCACAGATCACTTGACTTAGTCTAACTCTGAAGCGCTCAGTGCGTGTGTTCGGTGAGTGAAAATATATCTGTGCTAAACTTAAACTTAGCCTCCAACTCACACACTGGCGAGTAAAATCTGAGAATGTATTAGCCATTGGCTAATAATAGACATCATTTAGTCGCCCAGAGTGAAGATTCATGCCGAGTTCACACTGCACGATTTTCAAAGTCGTCGGGTCACCGTGGTTTTCACACTGCACGACTATCTGAGGTAGCAGTCAGTCGCTGCTGTGTTCACATTGCACGATGGATCGGCGACAGGAGGTTACACACTGCATGACTTTACAATAGGAAGAATCGCCAACAACAAAACACACGCGAGAATAACGCGAGAACCGGAGTTCTCGAGCAAGACTGGAATTATAAAATATATATATATAGCCCGCAAATCGTCTGAGCTGATTTCCAGCTACAAGGAGAAAAAGAAAAACAGGTTATGCAGGAGGGAGATGCAGGGAACAGGGATTGGGTGTTCTGCAAAGAGAGTTGGAGGTAAATAATTTTGCAGTAACTGTTATGCTGATGTTGTGGCTGGTCAAGCAAATGTTTGTGCTTGTTTCTGTATGATGTTATTGTTCATATATCTATTAAAATACAGATATTCTGGTCTATAACTCCTCCCCGAACTTCCCTCTGCCCTGTATCTTGGTCTCTCATTGGCTGTAGGTCATCGCTGATGTAGTTTTCAGTCCGAAATCATTGCACACAGCGTGATTGTGAATCCCTCAGATAGCGTCTTTGATAATTCACACTGCGTGATTGTAACTCGCGTGAACGAGCACCGATTTGCCTCCGATTTCGGGCATTTGTCGGCGATTTCGCAAAACCTGTTGGCGAGTGAAAAATCGGGCTAAAGTCATGCAGTGTGAACTCGGCATTAGTCCCATATGCGAGTGATTTACTCGCAATGTAGAGGGTTGACAGTATGGCTCGCGCACTCCTGTTTAAGTCACAAAATACGCATCGGGATATCGTGCCAACATATTCCTTCGTTTCATAATACTCAATTAATTGTTGTAAACTGAGATTGGTGTCTTTAGAAGATGTATATATGTATATGTGATTTGAATCTTCCGCAGAAGTGTGATAAAGGCCTATCGTTGCCTGGGTTGCGTACGTATGTGTGGGGCGGAGCTATCAAAACAGGGTCGAGACCCTTTTGGGGTAGGGGTGTGTTTGTTTTGGTGATTTGAAATATCAACATTGGCTACCAGAAATCAACCCCACCGTTAAACATCTGCCTACATTATTATCATGGTTTCCCAAATTGGGGTGTTCATGAAAAATGTATAATTAATGAAATAAATAAAAAATTAAAAAGAAAATAAATAAATCTAAATAAAACAGTCAATACAACACTTTATGAAAGTATATAATCTTTTTATAAAGGAAAACGAAAAAGATAAAAACGAAAACTTAGGTATAATCACTAAACTACAAATAGTTACTGCCACTGTGTGAATAATATCATGTTATCAATAAAAAGTAACTTATTTTAAATCTAACTACAAGTATTTTTCTGTAATCTGATCATGTAATCCTGACTACATATAATTGGCTACATATAATAAGTACCCAGCACTGTGTAAATATAACAGGTTAGCAACTAAACAACATTCTTTTAGATTTTCTGTACATTCCTGCAGTGGCTTTAACAGAGAGTAACATCTTGCCTTCTGGTATTCATAGCTGGTGAATGTCAGATAATGTTAAGTTCCTGCCTGGCTTTCTATAGCTTTCTGTGTCACCTTTAATATCCAGGGCTCTCTCTATATTTACAAGAGAAGTGTGGAATACACACAATTTAGACTCCTCTGTGTGGCACACTAAATATTGAAGCTGAAGCTGATAATCTCTGATCGCGAGTTATTCTTGAACAAAATTGAAGAAAAACATGATAATGTGAATATTATGATGTTAAGCTGTACCACTGGCATCATATCTGTAGTATAAAGTATGTTGACATATTGCAGCCAAATTGCAAATATTAAACGTGGGCTTATTGGCACAAAGTCAAGAACCATTTAAGCAAGATCACAGTATTTGTCATAATTTATGCTCTTCAGCTCAAGAGACCAACAATACCATGGATAAAGACAGATTAGATACACTCTAAGAAGTCATTAACATTTTAGATCCTAAATATTCTCTTCAATACCTACAGTGTACATGATTAAACTTGTGATCATGTTGTGCTGAAAACAGCATGATTCCACAAATTATATATATTGGTATCGATATATTGATGGAATACAATCAGCTTCTCTTGGATTTTGCTTTTACACTGACACAACTGATACAGTAATAACCCTCTGTAATAACTGGATCAGCAAAACATCTATAATTCGAACACATCCATTAAATATTTCAGAGAGCACAGCACTAGTTAAAGTGTTGGTGTTCAAGTTAATAATACAACAGAAGAGATAAAACAGAGGAGAATATCTCACAGTAACATCCTTCCGATTAATCAGCACTGACAGTAAGAGATGTGGCCTGAGGAGAAAAGAAGCAGGTTCCCACCCACGTCTCCATGTAACACTGACGCTGGTGAGGGACACGTTTAAAGCACAGGCACAGAGGTACTAAGCATTCACAGACCACCAACTGACATTTTCTGGTCATCTGGGACAGTCATGACAGCCCTATTCACCGTACACAATAGCCTCCCATTACATTTTTTTACCCAATTCTGAGATACAATGATGTTGTCACATTGAAATTACTTGGCATAAGTGCCTTCACTTCTGAAAATGTAACAACAATACAAGAAACATTCTAGGGTGTATTTTAGTCAAAGCGAGTATAAGAAAAAAATCTAAGATAACAATCAAGGCTTTCTGGGAAAAAACAGCAAGGTGCAAAACTGACGTTTGAATAGCCTGCTAAACATAACCAATGGTAGAAATTGACTGTCACTTAAGCCAAGCAAACAATTTTGTGGAAACAAGGGGTGAACAAAGGGTGATGGTCCATCATTTCCCCCCAAAGTTCTACACAAAGTCCTCAGTGAAATCATAACGGAGGGTGAGTTTCAAGTAGATAGCAGCAACCGAGCTTGAGACAACCAACACAAACAGATAACATGAAAACCTTACTTGAGCAAAATATCACATAGCACAATATTACACAAAACAAAGAGTATATAAACAGCAAACTGTAGGCTAGTGATACACGATTCCTGAACAAATTGTTCTTTTGAGTCGAATCTTTTCAAAGAATCGGTTGACTGATTCAATAAACCGGCCTTGGGCGATTAATTCACGAATCGGACTGAATCAGTCTGAGCATTTCTCGAGTCACCGATTCTTTAAACAGAGAACCGTCTCTGTAATGTCCGATTTGTAACAAGCTGACACACGATGAGTCAGCTGACAGTTTGTTTTCATAAACAATATTTTAATTTAAAACATGACGAGAGATGTAGCCTATCTGAAATGAGCAAAACACAAACATTATTTAGGTTTTAGGTTCTAAGTCACTCGTGACACTACAATACAGATCTAGCCTACATGAATAACAAAATCAGAAAACTACAATAAAGAGCAACATGTACTCACATTTTACGTTTTTAAACGTTTTCGAGCATGCAACGCCAGTGTGATTCGGACTACATGATGACGCACTTACGTAAAAGAATTACTAAATGGGGTTTTGAACAGGTTCATTGAAACGAACTGTTCGAAAGAACCGACTCCATGAAATGAGTCGAACTTCCCATCATAGTGGTCCTGTGTGTTAAATGAAAAGGAGGACAAGCTACATTTCCAAGGAGTCAAACATATTCTAACGTATATAAAAATGTCATATAATGTTTCATATGATTCTGAAAGTTAGATTTCACGGAAGACAATATAAACGACGTCTGGATCAATTCTTAAGAAGAAAAATACATAGGCTCCCCAGGGCTGAAATCACTCAGTATCTGATGTTATGAAAAATAATTTCATTTAAATTAGAGTACAACATCCAGCAGCAAACTGCAAGAATGGACTTGTGAAACTTAAAAAAATTAAATTAGACACTTGCATCAGTTACCGTCAGACACACCCATGAAAAAAAGATTTCAATAAACGCGGATCGGTTGGAATTCTGTTAACATGTTTATCATAAACTACTCTTGACGTGACTCAAACCCCCCTTTAATCCCGTACATAATCGTGTGCAACTTTTCTGTCTTTATTAAAAAAAAATTCTCCAAGGGCTCAAACATTCGTGGGGCTCTTTTGGACGGTGGGAATCATAAATGACTTCATTGTAATTGTGTAAAGTGTTCGGCTTGGCGGGGTTTACAAAAGTCTACCCCCTTCCCCAGCTCCTTATGCAACCCCTCATAGAGACACTCTGGACCCTAGACTTTAAAGATCTATAAGTGAGCCAGTTCATCTCCCAAACGCGAAAATATCTCAGGAGGGGAAAAAATCATCACGGTCCCAAACTGTTCTGGTCTATATGGGAATCAGAAGGGTTTATGACCCAAATAAAAGTGACGGAGCGGCACTGGGGGATCTGCCGAGCGTTGTTTACAAAACTGAGAGCAGAGACAGAGACAGAGGCAGGTGCCAGCAAGTTTAGTTTGAACACTTCTACAGCGACTTGAGTCTCCTACCTGAGCAGCGCGGTGTCTCCCTGTCTGCTGACCACACTCTCGCTGGACGCATAGTCCACAGTTTGTCCAGCGGGCAAGCACGATGGTAAAAAGCAGCAAAGACTAAGAATTATAGCGGTGAGCCATTGACCGGAGACGCACGCATCCTGCACTGCAATCATTATGTCCATCACCGCCGAATGGAGCACGATCCTCCCGTTATCAAAAATAAAAATATATCTGGATGAAAATACAATAATCCTCCGCGAAAACCCCGTGAAACGGCGTTCCGTGTAGTTTCCCCGATTTGTTTTGATCGGAACCTGACCGCGGGAGGAAGTCGACTCTCCAGTGGCTCGCACACCATCTAGTGAGGAAATGGGAAACGGGAGCAGAGCTAGCAGCAGACAGCCCCCCGGCTCTGATCCTGTTGCCATGCGGCCGTTTCCCAGGCAACCTGTTCCCTGTAGCTCGTGATGGAGCAGTTAAGCAGGTGGTTATTCTTGATACGGCAATACTATTTAAATGAGTGAGTTTTGACCACCCGGGGTTTAGCGCCCTGCAACCCCGAGACGTCCTCCTGCAAACACGCACTTTGTTTTGTTTTAGCCTATTGCGTGCGACGTCTCTAACAACGAGTCGATGAAAAGGGCAAGATGTAAAATGACACAGGTCAGGTCTTGTTTGTGTCATCGGTGGCCCATGCAGCCCTGCAGTAGGCTGCTATTTGTTCCGGGAAGTTACTGCATGCTGGATGTTCTCATCCATTTTTAGACGGCTTGCAAGATTTCATAGTTCTCTCAGACCAAGTGTTTTTGTGTGTGTGTTGTTTATCATATCAAAGTAAACAAAAATGTCCTTAAAATTAAACATTTGTGACCCTGGACCACAAAAGCAGTCGTAAGGGTGCATTTTTAAAAATCGATATTTATACATCATCTGCAAGTTGAATAAATAAGCTTTCCATTGATTTATGGTTTGTTAGGATAGGACAATATTTGGACAAGATACAACAATTTGAAAATCTGGAATCTGAGGGTGCAAAAAAAAAAAAATCTAAATATTGAGAAAATCGCTTTTAAAGTTATCCAAGTTAAGTCTTTATGCAAAAATTAAGTTTTGATATATTTACGGTAGGAAATTTACAAAATATCTTCATGGAACATGATCTTTACTTAATATCCAAATGATTTTTGGCATAAAATAAAAATCCATAATTTTGACCCATACAATGTATTGTTGACTATTGCTACAAATATACCTGTGTGACTTATGACTGGTTTTGTGGTCCAGGGTCACATATAAGACTTAATATGTGACTCATCAAATAAGTACATACAGTGTTGTGGACATGAAATATTAATCTGAATTTGAATTACTTTATAATTTTGCATGTATCTAAAATGTTCTGCCAAAATAGTCCAAACAATATGAAACAACTGACCTTGCAACAACAACTGCAACTTTAGGCCTAATATTAATACTGAAGTAAGTCCTCCTAATAGAAAACTGACAACTCGCCAAAAGACAAGACAGAGCAGCTTACTTTAGGTATGAAACAAAGTCTCAGCTTTCACATTTTGTCATTTTTTAAGAAATTTAAACAATAAATACCGTTATGTGGCTCTTTAATGTGTCGTGACAGATCGCTGTAGAGCCTCAGTTTAAAGGGGTCATATGATGCGATTTAAATTGTTCCTTTCTCTTTGAAGTGTTACAAGCTCTTGGTGCACAAAGAAGATCTGTAAATTTGCAAATACTAACGTCTCAAATCCAAAGAGATATTCTTTATAAAAGTTAAGAGTCAACCACGCCTACCTAAAACGGCTCGTTCTAACACACCCCCACATGTCTACGTCACGATGTGGGAAGATTTGCATAACGCCGCCCAAATGTTTACGGAAAGAAAGAAGGCGTAACTTTTATTCTCGCTGTAGTTTTGTTGCTGCCGCCATGTCGTGAAGGCGCTGTGTGTTTGTTGTGAAAGCGAAACTACTTTGTTTGGTCTTCCAAATGAGGACGATATCCACTTCATCATGCCTAGAGCTGATCTGTGCTGGTCGCTGAGGGAATACATCAACTTCGCGCTGTGGATCGCCGGATCGGCTTTCACCGTGGACGAAGCGGAGTCCAGCCCGGGGTCGACACATGTGGTTGCCGCAAGCCCAGTTCACAAGGCAAAAGAAAAAACACTTACCAGTTATGAAAGTTTACGAACATCAGATACAGCGGTCACATAAATTCTGCCGAAAGAATGATTGTATACGACAAGACGATAATCCTTCCATCGTGCAAATTATGGTCCTTTTCATCAGTTAAGGCTTGTTAGCATTCGGCCTGCTTTAAATCAGTAAAAGGAAAAAATTTGAAAGAGACTGAAAACGGCTGTCAGAAGAGAGAACGATGTCAAATTCACCGTCCCTCCCATAGACGCTGCATTAGAAACACCCTCGCATTAGCGTTAACTGTTTTTTTGTAATTTGATGCAAAGGTGATATAATACAAAGAATAGTGTTATAACTACATACATTTTTTTTTAAATACAAATATGAAAAACTTTCGAGGATTTATGATGCTGATGACCGTTAAACGCGTCATCACAGTCTTGTGAAAAGGGCCTATTGGTATGTTGTTAAACAACAGTAGAATCCATTGAATACAACTTTGAATACTTTTATCCCTCAGCCTCATTTTCATTCATGTCAAATAAGCGAAGATAAATAATAGAGAAGATTAAATAATAGTGAAGATCTATTATTAACTAGCCAATAATTCACTGTACAAAACACACTCAAATTATATACTTATTAATGAATTCATAGTAGGTCTGCGTCATAACGTGGATATCAACAACTAAATTATTTTCTGCCTTTTATATGTTGGTAAACCAATTTATGATGTTGATAAGCCAATTTATGATGTTGATAAGCCAATTTATGATGTTGATAAGCCAATTTATGACAGGCCATGAGGATGGATGTTAACAAAAGGTATGGGAAGTATTTTCTACTTTTGAAATACTGGTAAGCCAATTTATTTTTGCGATCAATTCTATACACAATTAGATACTTCCGTTTTATTATCTGCATTGAGATTTTCCTCTGATGTCCATGACCCAATCATTACAGACTTGCGGCACACCAGTTGAAAGTCATTGCTTTAAAACAAAGGAAGTGCTTGAAGGAAAAATCATTCACAGCTAAAATAATGGTTGACACAGCCCACAATAGCAACTATCAGCAATAGGCTACACCGAAATCTTTCATTAAAGTAACCTACATTTTTCTTTTTTCCCTCGCTGCTCAAGGCTATAATCGTCAGTGTTACTCTATAGCCTCTTTAAGACGAAAAGCAGTATGCTTTTAGGAGTCACGGTAGAGTACAATATAGCTAGTATAATTGAAAACATAAAGTGAGGACCAGATCAGCATTTTCACTAATAAGCTAGGGGAATTTCTCACACTCATCGCAAGTATTTCCTTGTTTATTTGGTGCCATCTGAAACACTGCACTTTCCACAGCAGCAACTACTTGTTTGCTTGCTCACATTCACCTCTCTTTGATAGTGAGGTTGAAGAATCTACAAGGTGTACAGAGGTGCTTTGATAAGGGATATAGGGTTTTTCTTTATTGTACTAGTAGTTTGCATGTGCTCAGTGAATGTTTTAATTTTCTCCTCATGATGACCATTCCTTTGATTTCCGGTCCCGTCATCTTGCTGGGTATTCTGCACTGTTTGTTTCCTTTCAAAAAATCTATTTTCTTTGTTACTTTTTTCTCTGCAGTCTGTGGTATTGCCTTCTTTATTTTAAATAATACACTCAGTGTACTGTACAATCGCACAACATTCAGTGTTGGTGGAACCAAAATTGTATTTTTCTGCACCTAGACTGGCTACATACACATTGGCTTTAGTTTTATAGATTGTGCATGCTGAAACTAATGGATTTGTCTAATAAGGAATATATTTACTGACATGGTTGGGCCATTTGTAAAATGGCTCTGATAAAAGCATTTTGAACCTGCTCTTGTTGAGTATTTTCGTTTTAATTGGGAAAGACATGGTTTGGATATAATTGCCTGAATGTCATTAGCGTTAATGGCAACCGAAAGTCCCTTCATTCCATTCTGTATCTAAATTGGACTGGCATAGTTGGTCTGTGCTAATCATTTACACTGCCAAAAGCCAAACACTCATTACTAGGTAATTCTAGCATCATGCCTGATGTTTGAATAGGATGAGAATACATGCATATTAAACACACTTCTTTTTTTTCTTTTTTTTTTTAAAGTAACTACTATATTGAGAAATATTGACAATGAGATATTAGTTTAGGAGTTATTGAAAAAATCTAATTCACAAGTTAAAAATAATTTATAGTCATGATGTTTTGTCACCTGCTGTGAGAGACTACTACAAACATGCTTACCATCTTTTAGCATAGAAAATATTTATATGTGCCAAAATAACTAGCGTCATAATGATGTTATTACATCATAATATCGAATTTAATATAAATTATGAAAATATGAAAAATAAATTATATTCATCCGCTGTATCTAAAATAACAGCAATTATTAATGCAGTTGAATTGAATTTGAATTCAACTGCATTAAAATGTTAGATAACCATATAAAAATACTCAATGTATATATGTATAAATAACAATAATATAGAATAAAATAATATAAAATGATAAAGAAATCATACCTCAAAATCAATGAATCACTCCTTTTTCTCAGACAGAGAGAGAACTTTGCCAAGCAAGTGTCTTCACTCTGGCTTATATTGTGCTAGAAGAAATTTAGTGGGTCATAATTACCCCAGTATGACAATTGCTCGCAGTCTTCCCTGTTGAGGGAACAAGTTTGAGGTTTGATCAAAAGAAGTCCATTCACCCATACGAAAGTAACCTAAGACAAAACAATACAGCAAAACCAGTCACTTAATAACTGAAATGACTTTTGAAATTCTCTCAAGCACACAGAACTGAGTCTACCTGCTCATGCATGAAAGCTGTGATTATTATTACTCCCCATCCTCAACACAGTTCTGTGAAGATATGAGAGAAATGGGAGCTTTTCACACTTTTACACAATGCAGCTCCTGAAATAATGGACAAGATAAATGATGCTCAGGATTCTACCTCAGTGGCAGGGTCTTTTGTTTTGTGCTGTCTTGCCAAAAACTTTATAAGAGAGAAACACATTTAGATTCCATAGTCCTTATTATTTTATACCGCAGAGTATTAAACAAGCTGCATCCCTAAAAGAATGCCAGTGATTCAAAGTTAAAAAGAATAAAGTATAACGTTAGTCAGGGGAAAGTTTCATCCCTTCATGAACTAGCGACTTGAAAAGTAAGCCTGGCTGGAGGCTTAAATCA